AAAGGCCAATCTGGCAAGGCATTACTTACTCTCTAGAAAATTAGTCATTTTCATTTTTTATGATTCAACTAAAATCAGGAAATTAAAAATGACAAAATATAGTGGCTGTCTGCGATGTTAAGACCGGGTTTGTGAAAAATATCTGACTGTGGCATTTTGAAAAATACTTGACCATATTTGGTGAGAGTAATGCTTTATACATATATTTTCATCTAATGAGCTAAACTTACCTAATCAGCTATCCATAACTTACAAAAAAATCTAGGAAACACATAACACAGCAAACATCGCAGAGATAAACATGGGATATATTTTTAAACTTTTGCGAAGAAACAAATTTCAAAATATATCAGCTATCCATAACTTACAAAAAAATCTAGGAAACACATAACACAGCAAACATCGCAGAGATAAACATGGGATATATTTTCAATTTTTTGCGAAGAAACAAAGGTTTCAAAATACTTATATAACCACTTAAAATATATATATATATATATATGTATATAATATAATATGAAGGTTTCAGGCATAAAACTTTAATAAAAAACAAATATAGTAAATTCAAATATATGTTGAAAGAAGTACAAATCTTTGATTCTGAAAAGTAACAAGAAAACACTCTTCTTTTATGTATTTTTCCAGATTCAAGTCAATGTGTCTAAAGCAACTACACACCTTGTTAATAGAAGCAGTGTTACAAAAGACAGCACAAGTAGATATTGTATTGCTATTTTACGTAAAACTAAAGCTGGGACTTTTGCTTCTTTTGTACTTTAAAAGTTTTGTTCAGACTATGAACTTCTGACCATTTTGCAACCTGAAATATTTTCATTTTTAAGAGTTTCTCCAGGCTTGTGTGTGTTGTGTATGTTAAACTATATGCCTGAGGAAAAAGATGATGCAATCTCAGCGATAATGCCATTATGTATACACCTAGACCCTATTTATCAACTGGTATAGCATTACTGTTTTCTTGAAAGATTTCTGGGTAGCACAGGGTATATATAACACCACAAGTGAAATGATGTGAGATTTAAAGTCAGAGCTCCAGTGGATGCAACAGAAACCTGAGAAAGGCTCAGAATACACTGGCACGTCTTAAAATTTCAATCAACTCTTTCAACCCATGATTTCAAAAACACTTGAGTCACCACTTGATAAACAGAAGTATGAATAAAATGTTTTAAAATCAGTGATTTTCAAATTATTTTTTTAAACTGTGTAACAGTAAGAAAAATTTTACCCTGAACATATCTGCAGGTGTCTGCACACATTATATAAGCCCACTAAATTTCATAAAATTTTCCGGAAATTATAGGTGTTCACATGTTAAAGTATATTTTCTTTCTTTCTTTCTTTTTCTTTCTTTTTTTTTTTTTTGGTACTGGGGATTGAACTCAGGACCTTGCACTTAGGAGGCAGGTGAGGTGCCACTGAGCTAAATCCCCGGCCCATTAAAGTATATTGTCTATCCATTCCATAAAATAATTTTTTGGACTATGCAAGAGTATAAAAGTCTTTTTCTCGCAGTATCTAAAATATTTAAGAGTATAACTTCTTGACACAAAGATAATTTTTGAGATGGAAGTGCTTATTACCTTGATTGAACCTTTACACATTATACACACAAATACATTAATCCAACATACTCATAATGATATACAAATATTATATCTCAAAAATAAAAATTAAATGCTGCCTACAATCCATTAAATGGATTTCAAAATCAATGAAGTGGATCCCTGACTGCAACTTAGTGATTCTGATCCCACCCCTCCCACTCAACTGTAGAAATTATCTTAAAATAATTTACTGGTCATAGTGACTTTCTGGAGATCTGTCAGTGGAGGGACAGCGGGAAAAGTCAAATCTAATTTTTCCCCTTTCCCCAATGACCCTAGAGCTCTTATGAATTTTTAAGAAAAAGCTGGCAGCTCTCCCTGTGACAGAAGTAACTTCACTTGCTGTGATGCTTTATCTGAGCCCACCTGAGCCTAGTCACTCAACTGTTTAGCTTTTCTAGATGGTGCTGGCATTGTCATTTTCACAAGTGAATTCTAAAGTCCACTAGAACCTGCAAGAAGACAGTTGTCACCTCCAGAAGACCTTTAAAATTATAGTAGAAAGCCCTTGAGTTTATCAGAAACAAGTAAATTCTGAATTTAAGAAAAAAAAAGATATATCTTGGGGTAGGAAAGAAAATAATTTTAAAGGTTGGGAATATATTTTTAAATTTTACAAAGTAAGCAAATTTCTTAATATAACTTTCTAAATGCCTATTTCCAGCATCTAGAACAAAATAAATAGCGGGAGCTCAGGTAATAATTTTCTGATTTCAGTTAAGGATTATGATGTAATTCAACTATGTCTTCACATGGGAAATATATCTTATTATAGTAGTGTTTTACAATGTAATACATGTTTTAAATTGTTATACTTTTGTCTTATTAAATTGACATACATTCTGAAAAAAACATTTTTTAAATATTAGCCATGTGATTCATGATTATTATAGTTGCTGTGATTTTTTTTATAGGTAAAGACTTTATGAAGAAAATCCCAATAACATGGACAATAGCACGAAGAATCAACAAATGTGATCACATCAAATTAAAAAAGCTTTTGTGCATAGTAAAAGAAACCACCAGCACAGTGAAGAGATAATCCACAGGACAGGAAAAACTAATCTTCAGATTACCAGCTAATCTTCAGAAAAAGGACTAATACATATTCTGTATAAAAAGATTCCACAAATTCAAAGAAACAATCCAAAAATGGGCATCTGAAATGACAGACACTTCCTCAGATAAAAAAATACAAAAGCAAATAAATACATGAAAAAAATTCAACATCACTGGTCATTGCATAGTTGCCGTGATTTGTTTTATTGCTATGACTCAGAAGAAACTCAGGACTGACTCAGAGAAGAAAGGATTTTGTCGCCCTCTTTTGGTAATTTTGTTGTGCTGCATTCTCCAGCAATTCAGTACCAACTGGAATTCTTTGTATGTTAAGAGTCACAGCAGTTACTTTGATCTTCCAAACTTCCAAAAGCAGCACATACACTTTTGTCCTCTGCTGAACATACAGTTTCTACCTTCCTTTCAGTTTGTAATTCAAAAATTTAGTTATTTCCTTGCTATTTTACAAAAACATTGTTAGCTTCCAATCGCTGTATTAAAGGAATTTTTCTGAAAGTTAGTTTCTGTATTATATGCATATACAAAATAAGTAAAAGGGGGCCGGGGATTTAGCTCAGTGGTTCCGCACCCTACCTTACAAGCACAAGGTCCTGAGTTCAATCCCTGGTACCAGGTACCAAAAAAAAAAGAAAGAAAGAAAAAGGTGGGGGGCACAAGGAATCTTGATCATCGTACACAGGCTTCGGTAGATGGAAATAACTCAAAGTGGCTGAGTATTGCCAGCAATTTCCCTCAAGAACAGAAATACAGAAATCAATAGTCTAGACATTGTAGAGCTCAATAATATCACTCTGAATATTTTCAGTTTTAAAAAAGTAAACAGTCTTTCCTTTAAAACCGTCTAGATCATATGCAACAGCCCATATTATTTCTCCTACAACACAAGTATAGTCAGGCCTCCATGTCTGCAGTTTCCACATTGCAGGGATGCAAGCAACAGCAAATTGAAAATATCAGGGAAAAAAAAACTGTGTCCGTAGTGAACATGTATTGACATTTTCCCGTCATTGCTCCTTAAACAATATAGTGTAATGACTATTTACATATCATTTACACTGTATCAAGGATTACAAATAATCTAGAAGTGATTTAAAGTATAAAGGTGGCTGTGTGGGGGTTATATTCAAATGCCAAATATTTTTAAATAAAGAACCTGAGACTTGCAGATACTGGTATCTTTAGGAGACTTGCAGATACTGGTATCTTTAGGCAGTCCTGGAAGCAATCTTCTGTAGATACCAAGGGCTAACTTGGATACTGAAGTATCCAGTATCTTCTTTGTAAAACGAGCAACACGGAACATGCCACCATGAAATAAACTGCATAGATAAAACTACCATGAGGGAATGAACTCAGGCAAAGGCTCTGATGAAAGAGGAGAGAAGAAATTTGAGAATGTGGTATTAGTTATTGCTAGAACATGGGGGGTGAGGTCTAAAGTTTACATCTGCTTCTGCAGCTAAATGCATGTGCCATCCAGAGGTAGGAAATGATATTTTCAAACACAGTGCATTTGAGGAGTCTTCAGGACACAGCAAATAGTTAAATGAGTTTGAGGATATGGAGCTCAGCAGAGATATGATTATAAATTATTGATGGCTAGGTAGCAAAATGAACCTGGATGAGAATCATCCAGATAGTATTCAAAGCATGAAAATAAGCTCAGGTTTGGCATCATTTAAGTCCACATCCACTGACATCCCCCTCCTCAATAGAGGAACTCTGTGCGGTCATAAACACTGTTCATGCTGGGAGACAGTGAAAATGAGTTGGACTCCATTTTGTGGACCAGAAAACCAAAGGTCAAATGTGTTCAGTGACTTCATTTAATTGTCCAGAGGTGCTCCATCCTATCATTCAAGTATTCTCTTTCTCTTTCTAATACTACTGTGTTTCTAATTGTAATTCTTCAGAGAACAGGGAGCAAAAGATTCTTCAGTAATTGTTTGGTGGCAAGAGATGTTTTTGTACATATCATGAAAAACAAAATGTTCTATTTCCAGGAACAGTCTTCCAAATATATAGTTTGTTATAAAATAAGACTACAAATTTACAATTCAAAACATGCTTCTTGTGGCCAATTCTGTAATTATGAATAACAAGTGACAACTGAATCAAACACAGAGAATATTTATGACTTCAAACAGCAAAATGGCCATAACTACTTTTATAGTCCTTTCTAAATCTTAAATGGTTGAAAATGGGTTTCACTAGGGAATTCTACCACATATTTTGTAACACATTTTTATAACTGCCCAGTGAAGAAAGCAACAGTAAGAGACTTCCCTGCACTACCTGCTTGGTCCGGCCGCCGCCAGCCTGGAGACTTGATCGCACTGGGAGAGCCCACAGGCTGGAACACAGCAGCTGCGTTGAGGCTGGCCAGCCCTGGCCTGCTGGGGCCTGCACTCTCCAAGCTCTCAGGCCCACTCCGAGTTAGGGCCACAGGTGGAGCCACTGGGTGAGAAGCCTCTTGAATATCGCTGTAAAGGAAATAAGGAAAACAAAATCTGAGTAGAAAACAAAAAAATAAAGGCAACGAAGAAGTAACACCCATTCTATATTGGGAATTCCCTTTAAAAGGTATGCCATGAGGAACTGGGTTGCTTTGAAAAACTTACACAAGCAAACCCTTCAAGTGATAAGCTAATTTCTTTTCCCCATCCTATCACAATACTTCAGAAGAGCTAAATGGCTCAAAATAAATTATTGGCAAATCCCTGAAAATCTTTGAAATGGCACTAATGCTTTTTCTCCTTTTGCCATTTTTTCTGGTATTTCATCAACTTAGTTTCTCTGACGCCCCGTCAGGTATTCTTTTCACTTGCACACTCACTCAGTAAATATGTAAACACCTACTAAAGGCCAGATATGGTGCCATATGGTGATAAAGAAGAGACAAAGCAAGGGGGCTGGGGATTTAGCTCAGTGGTTCTGCTGCCTGCCTTGCAAGTACAAGGTCCTGAGTTTGATCCCTGGTACCACCAAAAAAAAGAAGAAGAAGAAGAAGAAGAATAAGAAGAAGAAGAAGAAGAACAAGAGACAAGGCCTCCTGCTTAACAGAGTGTCTAGAGACTAGACTGCCATGATCTTCTTTCAATCAGTTATTTTGTTAATAGGAGACCTCATCTGCACTGGTTGGGTTTAGAAATCATATGACCTATATTACCAAGGCACTTGTTATTTATAATTATAGAGACAACAAAAAGCAACAATATGAGGTAGCTCAAATGATACAGCACATGCTTTGGAGAGCTGCAATAAGGAAGCTATTCTCTCAAAAATGAATACTAATTATTTCCCCAGAGCCTTTTGAATCTCAAGCAACACCTAACACAGTACGTATGTGACTGTCTATTCTTACAAAGGTCAGCTTGCAGGCTGACCCTTGAATGGCACTCAAGAATGTGGCTGATAAACTGGCCCCTGAGGTGACACAAAACTTTCTCTAAGTGATAAGAGTTGCTCACGGTGCCTGAACTGTCTGTACAGATGGTATAGTTTACAGTGAAATACTACTTTCCTCTGGAGAGTCTGGAATTTGGGTGCAAACAGCGCACAGGGTGTCCATGTAACAAGTCCCCCCAAAACTTGAGTCTTGGGTCTCCAGCTAGCCTCTTTTGTAAGCAGCACTTTGCATGCTTTGCCACAACTCCATACTGGGGGAGCTGAGTGCACCCAAGGGGCTCCTGACAGAGGGCTCTTAGAAACCAGAGCTTCACTTTTTCTAGGCTTGGCCCCACGCACCTTTTACTTTGCTGATCTGGCTTTGTATTCTTAGCTGTGATAAATTTTAGTCATAACTATCTGCCGAGTCCTTTAGATTAGTCTAGTAAAACAAAAAATGTGAGGGTAGTCCTGGGGCATTCTGACACTGTACAATTTTGAGAAATGAACTATAAATGTTTTAACCTTCATGAAATACAGCTTCTTATTCTTGTCCTTTCAAGTTCAAGGGAAACAGAGCCATCATCTTTTATTCTTTCCAATCAGTTTAGTGAGAAACAAAACCTTTCTTGATGTTGAAAAATACAACGAAATGTATAACACTTTAAAAATTTTTATCACAAATAGAAAGTATAAAATCGCTTACTTAAGGGGAATATTGAAAACCACTATCAATAAAAGCCACACAAAAAAAGCATTAACGGAAACAGAGTTCAAACACTCTTGCACAGTGGCTGAGTACTTTCTAAGAGCTCTGTAACAAAATTATTTTCCTTCTCCAAATCTCAGCCATCTAAATTTTAGATGAAGATAATCATTTGCTGGTAAGATTTCCATGATTTGAGATGGATAATTATGTCTAAAGTACTTAGCCTACTGGAAAGCACAGAATATAAACTTAACATATGAAAAGGATAATTAACATATTTAAATATTAAAAGATTTATTTCCAATACTTTTGCTCATCACAAATAAATAATTCTGAAATACTTATGTACGAGTCATTTTTGTTCTAAGATTAAATTCCTCATGACAATTTGTTAAAAAAAAACAATAATCTAGATAGTCACAGCTCTAAGGAGAAAACCATAACCAAGCAATATTGTTATAAATGAAACAAAATTATAATTTAGAAGTAACAAAAAACCTAACTTAGCATCATTTAAATGTTTAGTAATCTGAAGGAATTAAAACTTAATTCCAGGGGAGTTGCCAGACAAACAGTTAGGAGAGTAAGTGGGATGACAGGAATTCAACAGGAGCCCAGTGAAGTCCTCCTGTGGGAACTGGTAGAACTAGGCCAGGGTAAGAAAACACCCAAGGGCAGCACAGGTCAGCTGTCACACACCTGACACAGGGATTTCCTTCAGGAGTCTGCTCTGTGCGTCTAATACCAGTGAGCAGAACTGGTGCAGGAAACGGAGGTACTTCCTAACAGGAAAACTTGTCCAAAGGAAAAACTTGGTTCCTTGCAATGCTTTTCCTGAAAGCCCTGGCACCAGAAGGCACTTAATTAACTCTACACAAAGGATGGAAGGCTAGAGAATGGGTGGAACCATTAAGAGGTGGGGGGAGAAGGTACCATTCATGGCATTTAAAGCCTTCCAAGATAACATACCTGCCTGACCATATCACTTCTCACGGTGTCACAGAAACTTCATTCTGGCCACAGATAAGTGTCCTCATGTAAAATGGTGCAGAAATGTTGCCTTTATTCCAAGGTTACTGTAAAAATGAAATTAAATCCTAGAGAGTACTTAGCACAATGGCCAGCACAGAGTACAGGTGAAAGCAGTAAGAGGGACTGTATTGTTTGATTCTAAATCCCATAACATCTAGTTCAGAGTCGATAAATGCTTTACTAAATAAACACTTAATTTTGCTTCTAAATGTAGCTTCTGGGTGGTTTTGAGTGTAGGATCTTAACGTCAGATATAATCTTGCTTTCTCAACTCAATTTTAAATTACAGAATATTTCTCAGATTCCCAGGCAATAAGGATCATACATGCTTAAAAATTTAATTTTGATTGTATACTTTGAACACAGGTGTCTTAGGTACTTTTTCATCACTGAGCTGAAATACCCAACACCCATTAGGTCCACAGACTTAGTCTGTAATAAACTTAGGCAAAAAAGTGATGGCAGAGGGGCACTGTGGAGGAGGTGTTCAGCCCAGTGCAGCCAAAAAGCAGAGTAAAGGGAAAAGCAGGAAGGTAGAAATCCCTTCTGGGTCAGACCCCCCAATGTCCCACCTATCCAGACTAAGCTCCACCTCCAAGCCTCACTTACAGCTCTGATCTGATGAGTATAGTGTCCCCGGGACCCAAACACCCTGCCTCTGAATACACAAGCCTTTTGGGAGTCATCGTAGACCAGGGATGGCAAACCTTTTAGAGCTTTCAGGGATATAAACAGCCCACTGTGGCACAGGTGCTCTAGGTTCATCACCACTGTTCTAATCTAAACCACAACAACAAGCTTGTATGCATTCTTTCCACAAAAGCAAGATGCTTAAATCTTTTTTGGATATAAAATGCTTGATGTAGATTATAAAAAAACTATAAAACTAAGTTCTAAGCATGAAAATTGTTCCACTTTTATGCTTAAATTCAGGATTGATCAGCAATTCAATTTTCTCTGAGAAAATAATCTTATTTATTGAAAACATTTAATGTAGTAATAAGTGAATACTGACCTAGATAATCATATCTAAATATATGATGTCCAGGTTTCTAAAAATCTTAACATGTCTTTTCTAATTCTTAACTGTTGACTACTATTTAAAGAAAACATATAAATATTAGGTGTACTGTAGTAAAGGCAAAGGATTAAAAAGGACACTAGCCACACTATTTTATATTTGGAAATAAAATGTTATCAGTAATCACTAGCAGCAAAATATTCGAAAATTAGCAACTAATTTGTTATTGTAGCATGGATACTACTTAGACTGCTATGTTATTTCTGAACTCATTTTTCAAATATATTTTCCAAAATTTAAAGTTGTTTAAGGTATACCAAACTTCTAAACAAAATTAAAATTCTTTCTAAAGGATTCTAATAAGGAAATCAATATAAATATCTACAAAGACCTTCTGCTAATACCACAGATGCTGAAAATCAAATATGGTCATTTTCAAGTCCATCGCCTTAACCACTCGGCCACGACTACCTTAAATATGGTCATTTTCACAAGTCTGCCAAATAAACACTGAAATGATGTAATAAATTAATATGATTTCAAACTAAAGCACATTAGTTCTTGTTTGTTTCACACAACAAGTTCTTGAAAATGGAGAAAATATACTAGAAGAATAGAGAGTTTTTTTTTCCAGAATTAAGCCAATAAGGAAAAAAGGAAAAGGAACTAAAGTTAACTTTCAGTTTCAGCAACCTGGTTATCCTGAGTTGGCATTCTTTTCCCATATTTGTTTAACTATTACAACAACTAAAGTTCATTTACAGATTAGGAACACTTCACACTTGGAAACCTATTATCAAAGGGAAAATTGCTTGAAAAGTAATCGTGAGAGTAACTTTTATTCCGATTACATGTTTAAATAAGGAAAAAAACATCTGTATATCAACAGGTGTAACTATCAATGCCTAAGCTAGTTTTTAGCTAAAGTCTTACCAAAATTATACTATTATTCAGACACTGAAATGGCAGGCAAGGAACATTTTTGGGAGGATACTAATTACAAGGAACATTGTATTTTACAGAATTCTTCCAGGAGAACTCTATAAAAGGACCTGGTTGTATAGAGGTTCCTTCTAGGAATCTGTGTTTATAAGAACATATTTTATATTTTACTAGGGAAAATTCCTGACAGTTTTTGCACCAAAGCTCACAGTACTAAATATACTGTAATGGAAAGAAACAGGTTTGGTATAATTTTATACCAAAACTTATAATTTTAAACGTTGTTATCACAAAACAAACAAGCAAACAAACAAATCTCGGAGATAAAACATCTCTGACTCTATGTAATCTGCCCTTTTGGGAAACCCTCTAAGTTAACAATGGTTTTCCTAGGAAGCCACATTCCTGTTTCCCAGAATGCCAACTAGATTACCTTGTCAAGAACCATTTCCTTTCTCGACATCAAATATATTTTTCTTTATTCTACTGCTATTAATAAAAAGCAAAGACAATGACTACTAACATTTGCTCTAGAAATTTGCTCTAGAACTGCATATGCAGTTCTGTGTACAGGCTCCCTTCTGGAGATAAGATCTATGTCTGATCATAAGCACTTTTCTGGAGAGAAGATCTATAGCAGTGGTGGCAAACCTATAGCTTCCGAGCCACAGTAGGCTGTCTGTTTTACTGAAAGTTCTAAAACGTTCACCATCACATCCCATCTCATTCTCAAAGTGTGGCAGTGTGGTCAGTAACCTAGTTCTCTACAACCTTAACCTTGACAAGTCAAGACTGCTGGTCATTTCACTCTCACAATTCTGCACCATAAAATAATTATGAGTATTTTTTTCTTAAAGCGTGATATTTCTCTTCTTGTTTGAACACCTCCTTTAAAAGTAACCCTACAGTTAAAATCAAGCATCTTGAAAACCTCTATAACTCTGGGTAGAACACAGGCATATAATAAGACAGCC